CCTGGGGGGGCCCTCAGGGGACAGGGAATGGGGGGGTTGGATGGGGTAGGAGTCCTGGGGGGGCTGTCACGGGGTGAGAAGCAGGGTGGGTCGGATAGGGGTCGGGGGCTGGGCCATACCTGGCTGTTTGAGGAGACACAGCCTCCCCTAACCGATCCTCCATACAATTTTGAAAACCCGATGTGGCCCTCAGGCCAAAAAGTTTGCCCGCCCCTGGCCTATAGCAATCTGGAATTATGCCAGTGTACAACGACTGAAAATCTGACCCATAATTTCTGTTTGACACAATGTTTTAGAGAAGTGAGTGAAGCAGCCAATCTTGTTAAAGCGTACGTCCAATAACTCTGAAATACTCCAACATTAGACATTTTGTTCAGTTGTATGCTTAATATACAGCATAGGACTGAATTTCTTTGACAAAATTCTTTCACAAATCCCAGTGGCTCTACTGTTACCCTTTCTCAAACTGACTCTTTGACCCCAAAAGCTTAGGGGGTAAGTGAGCTGATAACCAACTGATTTTGCTGGACAAGAATTTTGCTAGGTTGCCTGGAGAGAAGCAACAATGCTTCAGCAGAGTTAGAGGGTTAAAGTGGAACTGCAGGGTCTAGTCACTGACTGCTCTTTTCGTAAACGCACAATGTTAGATGCATCCATTTCCTGCCTTAGTAATTCACCTGAAAACTGTGAAGAATGGGCAATTAGGAAACTGTGGAAAAAAGGCTACAGACCCTAAATCTCCATGATGATGTAGGCCTACAATAATTTAGGCATTGAATCATGTAGTGATCTATATTCACTGTTTATTCCCTGATAGAGTTACTATAAATGGGGTCAAAACCCAGTAGCATTATAATGGAATAGATCACTTACTAAAGAGGTGCATTGTTTAGTTGACATAGCTGAGTGTACTCTGTTTTATGAAATCCAGACTTCCCATATGCAAAAAGGTTTGTGCATTACTGTTTTAATGTAATCTGCTTAAATGCTGATGCTAATATTAGCTCTAACATATGGTGATCCTTGGTATATATTGTATCAACATCTCCACAGTAAGAATTTTAGATCATGTAGGGTCTAATCCAGCTCCCTTTGAAGACAATGACATTTTTCCAATTGATGATACTTAGTGAGTATGCTATTGCATGAAAATCAAAATACAACATAGAAAGATTATTAGTCTTATCAATGATAAAAATGCTATATTTGTAAGTTACATTGGCTGCACATGAACAGTAGCATGTTGGGATCAGAAGAAAGAGTGAAAAATATTCCTACTAGCTCTTCTCAATTTCAATACTCAGCCATCCTGAATTCTCAAGGAAACAGGTTCTACTTGTTACACTGTTACAGAGAAACCTCACCACCCATAAAAGGGGTTCATTCAGAGTGTATGATACATCATAATTAAATCACCTCCTTAAGAATATGCAGGGACTTTCACATCCTTTCAATGATCTTGATGTCGCTTTCCCCTTTTATTATTGAGGCTGATACTGTACCTCTGCTAATCTCTGAAAGAAACTCACTGAATGGCTTTTGTCTGCATGAAAAAAAGAAGGAAACAAACAAAAATGTGGCCCAACTTCTAAAGCAGGGCAGAGGTTAAATGAACATCCATTTGAGTCAGTGCCAAGTGCATAGCAGCCATACAACATATATCTTATCTAGCATGAATTTGAGGGCAACCTTTAGATTGAATTACTGTCTTGAAAGGAATGAAAGACTGAATGTTTCAAGTTAAGATTTTTTTTTAAACTGAAAACATGGCTATTATTCACATCTTGTATTGCTGAATGCTTAGAGTGCACATGATAGCTTGTCTTATCATTCCCTAGTAGGAAGGAGGGTAACGTAAATATTTTGCATAACAACAATAGGTTTGGCAATTATAAGGAAAATAAATAAATATGTATTAGACTGTATTTTTAGTGGTGCTGAGTCCATGGGAAATGTGATTTCCCAGAAGGTTTTTGCAGCAGAATTTACCCCATCATATTTTGCAATTTATAATTAAATAGGTGGGTTGCATAAAAGCTGAGATTTCAAAGCAGTGCGGGGGATTTTGCCAGACATCTTCTCTCCATATTCCCTCCACTGCTCTGGTCATCTCAACCAAAGGGTGTAAAATGAAGACAATTTTTTAACATTTCAGAACAAATTTTTAAAAGGGCACCACCCAACTTTCACAGTGCGCCTTTAGTTTTGTTCCCACAGTCCTTACGGGCACAGTTTTGTGGAGCAAATAACTATAGGCATAAGCAATGGCAATAGATGTTACCTTTTACTTTGTTAGCAAGTGCGCTCAGATAGTTACACATTAAAATGACAGTCATTTGCCACCACAACTATTTGCATCTCATATATGACAGAGAAGTTTGTCAAGAAATCATGTCAGTAGCACATGGCATCTCTCTGAGAGACTGTGTGGTTAATTCATTGATTTATTTTTACATTCCATAATTTAAATTAGTGAAGTTTTTTTTAATCAAATCTGTAGACAATTTTACAGAAAAAGGAAATTGGATAGTAAAAACAACAGATTTGAAAGGCCTTGGCATGATCAGGCATGTCTCTTGTGGTTTGTACTTGTGCATTCCTTACCGCTTAGATGTTTTACATCAAATATTTAACATACAATTTCCTAACTATTTAAAATCCATTACGTAGGATGAGAAAAGTAAGAGATAGAAGAGAACAGTTAGGTCTTCCACTTTGTCTCCCTGTCAGGATTGTTCCCCTATCTTATATTTTTCTAGAGTTTTCTTCATTGTAGGGACAGATCATTCTCTCCTGTGGTAAAACCTACATGTGGGAGCTTTGGGGAAGAAAATGTCTCTTCCACAAATCATTCTATCGGGGGGGGAACTTAAGTTTTCTCCTCATTGAAAAGGCCATGGATCCCTGTTTTAGCCTCTGGTTGGCCTAGGATTGGTCCCCATGCCTTCTTCTGAATTCCTCCTAGTAGTAGCGTGGCACAGCTGAAGATTGAGTCCATAAACCTTCTACATCATTTTGTGTATATGTAGTATCTAAATAAAAATTCAGCTTATTGCCATTCTAAGGAAATATTGTGTACACCTTTAATGCTGCTGTTTTTCTTTTTAAGGAAGCTCTTTATAAGTTCAACACAGTAATTAATAAAATACAATGGAAATTCATGTTGTTGATCTCAGTAACTCTGAAGTTACAGCAGGATATTATACCAATATCCTCTAATACCAAGGTGTGGGATAGTCTTGGTGGCTTGAAAACAGGAAATGTAAATTGAATATACCTGAGAACCATTATTTTTTTCCAAAGAGATGCAAATGTAATGAACAAAATTGATTACAGTTCTCACAGGACCAACTATAGACCAGTTATCCCAGTCTCAAATGACCATTTATTTTTTGTTATTTTAATGGAACAGGTCACAAAAGCGTGATTATGAATGGCAAGATATGTACCACTGGTTTCGTATGTATGATTTCAGCTAATAAGATATCTCCAGTGACCCATTGCACAAGATAAAACTGAAGAGCACATTTGAAGACACTCTTCTACTTGAATATTAATATATGGGCAATTTCAAAACTGTTAGTGGCCTTTTATAATCATTAAGACAATCCCCATAACTACAGAGGGGCTCTTTAAATAAATTACTGTTATTCATTGAACACACCCACTGCCAGCATGGACTCCAGCGTCTTCATTTTGGACTCTTGCATCTGCACAGATGTCCATGGAAGTCAGAGGGACTCCATGGGTGTTGGGGACTGTCCATATGGATCTCATTGCAGACCTGAGACAGTAACTGGTAACATGTCTGATGATAGAAACTGTAGGCCTGAACATTCTCTCACTGAAGTCAATGGGAGTTTTTTCACTGACTTCCGTGGGAGAAGGATTGGGATCTGTTTATTGTTTTAATTTCCTGTTATCATTTCTATTTAATTTTCCACATTTTTTGTTTTCTTTGTTAGAAAATATTCCCTATATATTATTGTTTGGTAATTTTGCTTTTCCTTTTTCCTACATTTCTCTTTCCTGTCTCTCTTAATCTTGCCACTTTCTGTTTATGGAAAGACAGTTGTTAAATGGTAAAGCAGTCACATACATACAAAGACTTCAGAGTCCATATATCAGGTTCTTAGCAGTATGGTGAGTTTACTGGCTTGAAAGTCCCTCTGGAATACATCCCCAGCTTGGATGGGTCATTCAGTCCTTTGTTCAGAGCTTCAGTTTGTGGAGAAGTTACTCCAGAGGTAGGAAGCAGGATTGGAGATAAACTAGAGATGGTGCAGCTGCCCTTTATATTCCTTTTGCGATGTGGCTT